AAGCAGTTAGCAATATCATTCCGGGCACTGACATTAAATATCATGTTGTAGGTAACCCCGAGCATCCGTGTCGTATGGGCGCCTCATCCGTAACCACCGGAAAGAAGGGTTTGGTGAAGAGTGGAAAGGCATGTATAAGAAAAGAGAACGACATAAGGAGCACATGAAGGATTTTTTTGAGCAGCAGCTGCCAAAAATTTAGGGATTTGATGGAAGACTTCGTTAAAAACCCCGATCCTCAAGTGATGAAGCGACATGGAGCGATGTCTACTCAACAGATGTCATCACAAGCTCCTTCATATATGCAAAGCATGTCCCAGCTCAACCCTTGGGTAGCCGAGGAGATGGCCACACAATCTATGCCCTTTTCAAGCAAAAGATAGCGTCAACATCAAATCAGACCATTATCCAGTTGACGATATTGATAAACCTTGGCCTTGCTCATTGTTAATTGGATATGGCCTTAGGAATCAGAGATACAAAGCAAGTGGCCACAGCAATGCCATCCTCGGACGTAGGTTCCATGGTGTCGAGATGCAAGATGCATACCGCAGGTGGAAGTGTTGACGGTCGAGAGTGGATATGAAGACGACTTCATCGACATCCCGACCTCCCGAGGGTATAGAGAAGCTTGGACAAGCAATCAAGAACTTCATACAATGGCCGAGACGGTACGTAAGGTTGATTGATCCACCAACGGCACCCTCTCCACCAAAGGCATCAAGCATCCCAAGAGGTCGAAACAAGTCAACGGCCAAGATCGCCAATGCATGCCCCAAAGATCCCAGATATTTATGAGCCACCGTCGTCATCCCCAATACATGATATGTCATTCTCATTTGGATGAGCTCGAGGGCCAGCCAAGAACATGCCCGAGCAAAGCAGACTCGCTTGACCAAGAAGGACACAACACCGAGAGAAGGAGGTAGAGCAAACTCCCCGCCACCACCAAAGCGTAATGAAGATGAGCAAACTCCCCCGCCACCACCAAAGCATAAGGAAGCAGAGCAAACTCCCCACAAGCACCGACCTCCAAGAAGGCAAAGAAATTTCCAATTCAAAATTGGTTTCTCCCTATGAGCCAAAAAAGGGGAGAGCAAAGCAGAGCACGGTTCTATTTTCGAAAGGGCTTGAAAGCGGCCGGACGCCACGAGTCGTTGAGCTCGAACCGTCACAGAATAAGGAAGCCGCCCGGCCAAGCAAATCAAGCCGTGCCACCAACAAAGGAAGCCCCAAGTGGCGATGTACATGTCGAACCGCCATCAAATACACCATTGACCCTTAAGGATATAAGAAAGCCAACGGTTGATGATTATGTCGATGTCCCCAAAGAACTATGTGCCCGGAAGGCCTATGCTGCAATGGACGGTGCTTGAAAAGGGTCCATGGACGATAAAAGGTTTCATGATCGGTACATGAGAGCAAAGTGAATGCTTGGCCTGCATGCAAGATTAGTGTTGACATACCAGCCAGACGTGTTTGCTATCGGCAAGGATAAAAGCAGGGCATTTGTTACCTTCGAGGACATGCACTGCTGTTGAACTATAGGAAACTTGACGTCCAACTCATTACAATCTGGTGCCTGTAAGTATCACTCATGCACACATATTGTTATTATTAAATTTGGAATGTGATAAACTCTAATATGTGGATGTTGTATGTAGTTTGCAAGACCACGAAAGCGAGAGATCGTTAACTACTGTGATCGATGGTCTGATTTACCTCGAGTCCAATCAGGTTACAAGAAAATATGCACAAATTTGTACTTACAAATGAAGATAGAGCAAAGATAGAGAAGGACAAAACACTGAACAAGTTGCGAGAAGTGTAAAGGAATTGCAACGAAAATACGAGGACAAATATGCCTCTATCTCGGTGAGAGCAATCTTTGAGATATAAGTACAGGATTTTATATTGGCACCCTACAACTTTGGGTAAGCGTGACCTCGTGATCACGCACTTCAAATTATCGTGTTAACCCTAAGTACATGTGTGTCGCTCACTCGCTTATTCATGCAATTGACCATTGGATTGTTTTTTATATTTATCCATTCAAAGGGAAGGTGCTTGTCCTAGACTCCTTACATTATCCTCCTCGGTCGTATCAAATATTCCCGATTCATTTAGAAAGGTGAGCCAACATGCAACCACATCCGTACTTATATGAATTAGAGTTTCTAAATAACTATAGTGTTTTATATTCGATATCTCTGTGGCATGGCGGTTTTATAAGAAGCAAAAAGGACCGGGTCGACGCCGCCCGCTCAGATCCTAGTGTGCCATTGACGATACAACACCATTATCCGGTAAGTTGTCCAACACATATCATCATATAAATAATACACGAGGCATGACAATTTTAGTTTAATCTTTTGCTCATTAATTACATAGTGCCACAAGCAACCACCGGATCGGCTCACTGTGGATACTATGTGTGTGAGTTCATAAGGCAAATGGGACGATACGTCAGGACAAAAATATGGTAAAAAATATCTATGTATGAAGTTTTCTCATTAAAGTTGGAAATATTAATATTGGACATGTGTCAATGATGCTTTTAAACTTTGTTTCCAGCCGAGAAGCAAAGGAAAGGACGTGCCATTCACTCCAAAAACTATGGAAGATATAGTAGCAGACTTGTGCGGTTTTATTATGAGAGAAATAATTCCAAGTACCGGATCATATTTTTATGAAGCCGGTGATTTAGCAAGTGAAAGATTTAGAATGTTGATGGACTCTAGCAGGTCTAAACTTGAAACGAAATGACATGTAAACACCAAATGGTTGAACTCATAACATGAAATGACGTGTATTATATGTAATTTTATGCTTGATGTTTGATTTCATGTGTACACATCTGTAATATTTATATGTGTTGTATGTATGATGCAATTTTATGGTTCATGTTTGCATATCTTATATATATATATATATATATATATATATATATATATATATATATATATGTGTGACAAATATAGTACAGTGTGGAGGCAAATATTAAAATTTGAAATAAAAAAATAATTACACAAAGGCATACAGAGTGAGCCATTTCAGGAAAATCAAGTTTTCAAAGCGGTGACAAAGTGAGCCACTGTGAAAACCCTTTTTTCACAAAGTGCTCACAAACCACTACTTTATCTTGTGGGCCGATTAGTATCTGACCTCTAGTACAAAGCGGTGGACTTGGTCATCAGATAAATGCCTCTACCACCGCCTGTGAAAACGTTTTCTGTACCAGTGTTTTTTGGATGTGGATCTAGGGGTTGCAGTGTCTAACATTTCATCACGTTCAATATGAAGAGAGATAAAGCGGTATGGAGGGGTGACGGATGTGGCTAGAGACTAGGGTTCAGTGGGTAACACTGGATAGGGAAAATTTTACATATAGCGAGTATAGATACCGGTGTTTATACAGAGCTCGCACAAACCAAAACCCTACATGTCCCGTGCTTGCATATCTAGAGCAGGCAGGCACGGATATCAGCAATTCAGCATCAGTCTGTCACTAAAACAGCAAGATACAGCCGATGAGAAAAACAAGTGTTTTAAATTTATTACTCCATCTATTCCAAATTATAAGACATTTTAACTTCTCTAGACATATACCTTTTTTGTGTGCACTAAAATTAATGCCTAAATACACTATTCCAAAATGTCTTGTAATTTGGATCAGAAGGAATACGCCTTGTCTTATAATCGTGGACCATTAGTGACGTTTCTCGTTGTAGCGTCACTGGTGTTCGCGTCTTCCTTGTGCTTTTTCCCTATCGTATCGTAGTTGTGTACCGATGATGCTCGTACGAAGCCAGCTGCCAGTACGGATGACTGTTCATGCAGTAGCCCATACGGATACCGCAAATAAATCAGCGTGATCACACGGAAAACGTGTGCTCAGCGTGCGTGTGCGCTGGATCGGAGAGTGAGTAGACGTACGCGCTCGTGTGCGAGTCCGACATGTTCAGTGCCGACACAGGGGTACTGGTACATACAAGCAGGCCACACGCCAGCTCTGCTTGCCTGTGGAGGAGCTGTGGAAAAGAAGAAGAAACGGCACCGATAAGCATTCCCCGTCGCTCTCCGGTCTACTTGTAGTTGTACCCGGGACCCGGAGAATCCAGCTCGCCCGTCCACCGCCACTGCTCTTGCCCTCGTTAAAAAGCCCCTGCTGCTGCGCCCCTGCTTGCCCCGCCTTGCTCCTGCTGCAACAAACCCCTGGCTGGCTCTTGTTTCTGGCAGCTAGGCAAGGCAGGGACCAGGGAGAGGGCTCTGCGCTGCAGATTTCATTTCATTTCTGGCTGCACTGCAGCGAGATCCAATCCAGCTCCAGTTCCACGAGCGGATAAACAGTCAGGTTCTTGTTTCTTCTGTACACTTACTTTCTATGTCCATCTGGGTTTGTGTTCGTGTGTGTGTGTTTCCCCTTCCCCGGTCTTTTTCAGTTGGTTGTATATGTCCATCTAATGGATACTACTATGCCACAACTTTGGCCCCGTTCGCTTCGCTGAAAAAATAAGCCAAAATATTATTTCTGATTGATTTAGTGTGAGAGAAAAACACTATTCTAGCTGAAAAAAAAACAAACGGAAAAATACGGATTATAAGATATCAGTGCTTGAGCTCTCCCCCTCTCCCATCCACACATTTTTACTGTTCATTATCGGCTCTCCTCCCTGTTGCGTGCTTGCTCCTCTGCTAAACGTGCTTGGAGCTCTCTCTTTTTTTCCTTTTGTTTTTTTTTGGTGATCGAGGTTGAAATAAGACTCGTGTGCTTCTCCTTGCAGCGGTCGATCGAGAGCGTCGGATTCCGTGCTCAGTGGGACTGGGATGCGCTGCTGCTCCGAGTGAGGCGCCCGCCATGAACCAGCAGTACATCCCTGATTGGAGCGGCGCCATGGGCGACACCTTCGCGCCATTGGGGTTGGTTCCGATCAGATCATTCTTGCAACAACAAAGTTGCTCCTTTTGAGTGTTATTATTCCTCGCTCCTCTTTCCGTCCATGGCTGACGCGGTGGGGTGTCGTGTTGTTTGCAGCAGCGGCGACGACGACGGGCTCATCGAGCTGCTGTGGTGCAACGGCCACGTGGTCATGCAGAGCCAGGCGCTGCTGCGGAAGCCGCCGAGGCCCGACAAGGCCGCCGCGCCAGCGGCGGTGCCGGACGACGACGCGGCGGCGCAGGCGTGGTTCCAGTACCCGGTGGAGACCCCCCTCGAGAGGGACGACCTCTTCGCGGAGCTCTTCGGAGAGGCGCAGGCGGCGGTCGACGGCGCCAGGGGGGCGTGCTGCAAGGAGGAGGCGGAGCGCGGGGGCGACGCCTCGCGCCAGAGCAGCAGGATGATGCCGCCGCCGCTGCTTCAGGCCGCGGGACGAGAAGGCGTGCCCGGGAGATGACGCCGGCGGCTGCGGGGCCCGGACGGTGCCACGGCGAGGACGTCCGCCGGCTGCGAGGTCACGGAGGGCGGCGAGTCGTCCATGCTCACCATCGGGTCCAGCTTCTGCGGGAGCAACCACGTGCAGCAGACGACGCCGCGCGCCCGCGACGCCGTCACGCCGCCGGGGGCCGCTAAGGACGTCGCCAGGGCCCGCGACGCCGCGACGGACACGTCGTCGGCGACGCGGTCCAGGTCCTGCACCACCAAGAGCGAGCATCCGGTCCTGGCGCCGCTGCTGCTGCCGCCCACCGGAGCGGCAAGCGGAAGCAGAGCGACGCCACGGACGCCGAGGTACGTTCCCCCGCCACTGCCGGGTGCCGGCCCGGACGCCGTCTTTTCGCACCGCTGCGTCTGCGTCGATCGATGACGGAGTGACACGTTTACGGCCGCGAATGCAGGACGTGGAGTTCGAGTCCGCCGACGTGACGTGCGAGCCGGTGCAGAAGACGACGACGGCCAAGCGCCGCCGCGCCGCCGAAGTCCACAACCTCTCCGAGCGGGTAGGGCCCTTTGAGTTTTGACCCTCTCCAAGAAACCTCTCTCTGATTTCGTGGCCGGCAGCCATTGCTAACTTTCGTCTGAATTCGGTTCCGGTGCAGAGGAGAAGGGACAGAATCAACGAGAAGATGAAGGCCCTGCAGGAGCTCATACCTCACTGCAACAAAGTAATCACATCACTGTTATAGCTAGATTTGGAGTTCTGCTCATATCATGTCATCTCCAATCCTTGCGATCTGATCTCATATGAATTCTTTCATCGAGTTCTTCAGACGGACAAGGCGTCGATGCTGGACGAGGCGATCGAGTACCTCAAGTCGCTGCAGCTCCAGCTGCAGGTGAGCTTCGGCTTCCTTCCTTCCTTCCTCGTCGCCCCAAAACCAAGCTCCAGCTACCCAAGAACGAGACATCGACCGACGTGTGACGTTTGCATTGTCGCGGCGCACGCAGATGATGTGGATGGGCGGCGGAATGGCAGCGGCAGCGGCGCCGGTGGTGTTCCCGGCGGGGGTGCACCAGTACATGCAGCGGATGGTGGCCGGGCCCCCTCCCCACCACGTGGCTTCCATGCCCGGTATGCCGTTCATGGCGCCGCCGGCCGCCGTGCAAGGCCCGCCGCCGCCGGTGCCCGACCTCTACGCGCGCTACCTCGCCCTGGACCACCACCTGCCGCCGCCGCCGCCGCCGCCCTTGGTAGCACCACCATACACGGTTCAGCAGCATTGCCTGCAGGGCACGATGGGCTTCTACCAGCGGCAGAACCCCGCGCAGCCGCCGCCGCCGCCGACCGCCGTTCCGGCGGCGTCGCCTTCCGACGGCATCCTGCACAAAAAATACGGTACGCGGCAGAATGTGAATGTGAATGTGATGTGAAAATCTGTCGCCGTCGGGTCTTTATGCTCGACGATTGTTTCTTGCTCACACTCAGCCACATGCATTGCATCCATCCATGTCAAACTCAATAGCTCGCCGCCCATATATCTCTTGGAGATCCTTTTGGATAGCTCTGTCATAGAGCTCTAAATTTCTTCATCTTACATGCACTTACTGTAATAAAATAAAATTCAAAATTTTCATCACTGACTTGAATTTCTGTGGTTTTGACTGGATTTTTCAGAGAATTGTGGGAAGCCTGAGATCCAGGGTATGACCGGATGATATGATGGGTCTTCTACATGTATGTATATGTAGTTTAGTAATAGTACTGATGGAGTTTGGTTATTAAGACTTGACCGACTTGATTTAGATCGAGATGGATGCCTAATTAATTAGTCATAGCGAAATTTGAGATTTGTTCAGTTCAGTCCCTTGACTGATTAAGTCAGTTTTTTTTTCCTTTCTGTTTGTTTGATAGGCAGAGTGTAATTTTATCGGTGATTGAGATTTGTCAAGTGACGCAATTCTTTCTCGCTATATACGCATTTGTTTGCAATTTGAAGACCACCTGAATCTCCCGAAAAAATGTTGATTTGTACTAGTTCAGATTGATGTCAACCGAATTGTGTTGTGTTCCACAACTTGCTGGCCATGGCATAATTAGATTACGTTTTGCCGTTTTGGATAGCAAATATCCAAATTTTCTGCCCAGAGTGTCATCTAATTATGACTGGATGTAAATGTGATTAGAATCTTCCCCGCCGCATTTCTAAGATTATTTCAGGGACCATTGGGGAAATGGTAAATTAAGGTTTGTATCCGTTTGGAAAATGAAACTAGTTCACCCAGAGAAAAAATTGAAGCTCCTACAAAAGGCTGCTGGCCAGGATGCTCATGCTGCCATAAAAGGGCTTATGATTAATATTATTCATGACTTATCTAAGAAAAGTGGCCTACAAGCTACAAACAAAACCTAATGCTCCTAAATCGGTTTGCTATCATATACTGTACCTAAGTTGAATAAAACTGTTTACCATTTTTCTTGTTATGAGAAAGAAAAGCAAAGCTGCTGGTGATGGATGTCATTCATGTCTTTTCCAGTTTCCAAGAAGAGAGGAACATTGCCAATCATTTCCGTGAGCTGATAATCATCATCCATCAATCAATGCTGCTAGTATTAACTTTTTCATATTTGAGGAACAAAATAATAACTCTACTCTATCTCACAAAAGATACAATTCTAGAATAAGCCTTTTTAAATTTATATAAAAAATAGTAATATTTAGCATACTAAATACATATTCGGCCTGTTCGCTGGTTGGTTTTTGGGCTGGTTTAGGCTGGCTTGTGCTGGTTTGTTGTGAGAGGAAAATACTGTTGGCTGACTGATTTGGGCTGGCTGAAACCAACAAGCGAACAGGCCGATTATTAGATTCATCATAGAATATATTTTTATAGTATACCTATTTGAAGTCATTGGTGGTAATATTATTTTCTATAAATTTAGTCAAAATCAAAATAATTTGACTTGGATAAGACCTAGATTTGCATCTTTTAGACTGTCTCCAACAAGGAACCCATATAAGCACCCAAACTCAAAATGGGTAGAAACCTAAAATCAGCCTCTAACAGAGTACCTATACGAGAGACCTATTTTAGGTTGCCTGAGAGGCACAACCCAAATATGGACATCATCTCTCCTGAAAACCCATTTGCATAAAGGATTCTCTTTTGGGTCTTGTTGTTGGAGAAGATGCTGAATAGTTATTGAACCTTTTGCCTGTAGCGCTACCCAAAGAACGAATGAGTCTTGTATCTTGGGTGTTGCTGTTAGAGATAGCCTTATGGATAGATGGAGAGAGTATTTTCCGGTATAAAGTATCGCTCAACATCTGCTAGTGCTAGCCTTGTGTTGAGCTGAGCTCATGGACCATTCAGGATGGATGGGGCACTCCTGTGATCCTGTCTGCTGGTGACTGACAGATTATGACCGGTGACCACAGTTGAGCTAATGCATGCATCATGCTTGGATGTGCCTACTGTTGCTGGGCTGAATCATGGCTCTGTTCCTTGGCAACTTAGCAGAGTCTACTCCTATCTTGCAGATCAAAAGACAGTAACCTGCACCGTCAAACTCACGACTCCTCCATTCATTCCCTGAGACAAATGAACTAGAGTAGGTAGTAATCTACTCTTCTTAAGGCTACAAGAGTTGGAAACATTTTTCGGATCCTATATATATGCCTGTGGTATCATGTGATTTGTTCTGAAGAATCCGTTATCTTATGAAACTAAAGCCTCTTCCTTCCTTTCTACAAAGTGTGCTTGTGATATCTTCACTTTATTTTCTCTAAAAAGAAAAAAAATAAAGTATGCTTGAGATCATTATCACGTTCCCGTGCCCTTCCAAATCTAAGCTCTCAACTTTCCAGATTTGGTCTTAATTTGGCCCTGTTCATGCACCTAGATCAGGAGACTGTTCACGCATCACTGTGCACGGGTATTTGCCTTTGCCCTGATCATCTGGCATCACCCTTTTTTCCCCCTTTTCATCAACCTTTTTTCCTCTGAAGATCATTGGACTAGGTACCCGGTAGGCCGGTACTACGTGAAAACTATTGGCGTCCTGGGTCCTGACTCCTGAGCAGTGACCAGGTTGTGTGTGATAACTGATAAGCAAGCAGACTGTTTGGCTCGACTTGTCTCGCTTGTTTTAGCTTGTTTCAGCTTATTCTCTCTCACATAACACTATTGAATCAGTTGAAACCAGTTAGAACGAGCCGATACACAGTAGTTTTGTGTACCAGCCGAACGGTCTGTTGGTCAGAACACAACACAACACTGTCCCAATTGGACACACGAACGGTGATTGCGATTCCATCTTGAGGTGTAACACTGTACTAACCTTCTTCGCCGAACAGTTCTTTTATGAGAGACTGAATCTGACGAACGGCAAAGTGGGAGAACAACTCGATAGAAGAAGAAGCATGGTCCTGCTAACATTCCCAGGGGCAGCAGCAATGCACGCGTACAAGATGAACAGCCTTATGAAAGGTGCCGTTTGGATATTAAGGGTTGGTATAGGAAAAGAGAAATGAATGGACGGCTATGATTAAATGACGTATGATGAATGGATGGCTAATATTACCTATCCCTATCCCTGTTCTCATCCCGATCCAAACGTGTCGAAAAAGTATTCATCTACGTAGGAGCGGATAGGCCAAGACCAAAAGCTTCCCAACGCAGGGCACACAGCACACATGCCTCCTTTGTCCCACCGCTTCCTGCTGTCCCCTTCACTTTCCTGCACGTACACGCGCATCCGTAGAGAGAAGCACAGCTCCGGTGACGGTCCTGTTTGGCCCCGGCAGGAAAAACGGTTAATATTGATGTTCACGCTGATTTGTTACGGCGGTACACCTCGTCTGACAGCCTACGAAGCCAACATCTTTGCTGCTTTTTCGTATCCGAGCCTACGTGTCTGACGAGGCCACAAGACACCGTGGCGCATTGAACGTGCTCTAAGCTGACGAGGACCGAAAGGCGGCCAGTGATCTCACTGCTCACCTTCCCACAACCGTTACCGCCGCGTCGCGTTGCGAGGACCGGCCGGGACAGGAGGTCTACCAATCCACCACCAGTCAGCATCTTGCAGGCCGGGACAGGAAGTCTACCAGTCCATCGCCAGTCAGCATCTTGCAGAGGATGTTTGTTTCAGTCACTAATTTTTACGCACATCGAAGGTTTGATACTAATTTAAAATATTAAATATAGACTAATTATAAAATTGATTGCACAGACAGAGAATAATTTATGAGACAAATCTATTAAGCCTAATTAATTTATGATTTAATAATATGGTGCTATAGTAAACATGTATTAATGATAAATTAATTAGATTTAATAGATTTATCTCGTAAATTACTCTCTATCTATGTAATTATTTTTATAATTAACTTATGTTTACTTCTCCATACGAACGTGATGTGAGGGACTAAACTTTAGTCCTGAATCAAACCCCGACGGCGGATCGTCCTGCCTGGGCAATCAGACAGACAGACTACATTTTTTTTAAAAAACAAAGACAGACAGACTACATCAGGCATCAGGAAAAGCAGCAGGGATGCAGACGCAGTACATGCATCTCCCACAAAGCAAAGCGCCGGACAGCCGGCAGCAGGCGCCCTCGGCATGCATCCGCCCGAGAGTTCTTGGCGGACGGCTCGGCAGAGCTGACTTCGTTTGCGCGCGTGGGGCAGTGTAACTGCAACTGCGCGCTGTCTTCTTCTCTTCGCCTGAGGACTGAGGAGGAGTGGGTCTGGTCCCTCACATACTCACGCACGTAGGGACTTGGCAGGCAGCTGGTAGTACCAGCTCTGTCCTTAAAAAAATGTAACTATAGGTTAGGTTGCGTGTCACTTTAAATGTTTGTTTTTTATACATAATATTCACATTTATGGTTTTAAGTTAATTTATTATAAAAATACCATTCTGCACGCCTCTTTCACCACCGCGCATGCCGGCGCCAAATCGCCCTACTCGTCCTGCCAAATCGAAGATCCATGCGCCAAATAGAAGCTCCCACAAACCAAATCACAGCCACAATTTTTTCGTAAATCGCCAAAGTCAAGATCCCTAGATGCACAGCAAAGATGAGTCTGCAGTCCGTCCGGACATCTGCGACGGCGGCGCCTGCTCAGAGGTTTCTCCCGCTAGCTCGGGCCGTCCAGCCGCCGGCCATCCCTTCCGCGTTCGCATCCAGCAGGCCCTACGTCCGCATCGGACTACACCAACCAAGCGTGGTTTGGTTCGTATGGGGAGCTGGTAAACATTTTCGCTTTTCTTGTATTTTAGCCGGTCAAATCGAGGTCTAGATTATCACAGAAAGTGATTGGCTTGGTTGGAGGATTGTTGTTTCACTGGTTGGAGGAAATAAATCTCTGAAGTTTCGTATGGGGAGCTATGGCGTGAAGAAATGTAAATCCTAGTAGCCGGATCAGCATATTACGGTTTTCATATTATTCACCTGTTCGCTGGTTGGTGTTGGTGCTGGTTCTTTTTTAGAGAAAAATACTGTTGGCCAGTTAAATAAGTCTGGCTGAAACCAACAAACGAACAGGGTGATTGTTGTTTGATGGATGGCCACAAAGATATCAACCACAGCTGATGAGATGTACATGTACAAATACCTTGTTGGCTTCTCTTCTATTCCGACATTTTTTATTTTTTTTAGTCGGAATAATATTTTTCTCTCACCATAAATTAGCAGGAAGAGTATTTTA